ATATATATATATATATATATATATATATATATATATATTTTCTTATTATCACAATTACTTTGCATGTTTGTTTTTTTAAACACAGACTTTTTAAATAATTCAGAACAACAAAAGGAACATAAACCTTTCATCTGCATTTTTCAAAACTGTTAATTGCAATCAATTGAGAACACAAATTTATGTTTGCCGAAATGTTAGATTTGTGCGTAAGTGCGTAACAACATGAGCGAATCTTGAAGAACTTTTAAAGAACTCGTAAATTGGAGTGTTGGATACTTAAACGATTTTAGTAATTCTGTGGCCATGTTCTTCTAATTTGTCAATCGATTTCCTAGATACGGTAAGTGCAATAACCATTAACACAGTGTTAAGGTGGATGAACAAAGATATACTGCAACTACACCAGCTGTCATTAAACATTAAGCTTTGAAAACAGGACCTTTAACCGGATTACAATCCTATCGATAGCGCAAAACCTATACTTTGGTCTTTAAGAACATCGCAGTTTGACTTACGTAACATTATGTAAATATTATCAGTAAATAGGAACGCAACGCCGAATCGAGCCAATTGAACGAGGTGGATGTTCCTGGGGTAGCTGTGTTTTGAAACGTCGAAAATTCATACATGGCACCAATGTATAAAAATGTCAAAAAACCTCTTTGTGTCATTATTACGTGTATGATTCTACAAAATATTAACTTAGCTCAACAACGGCAGATGCATTTTATTAAATATTTGCTTTGGTGACGTGATTTTATGTTCAGTTGAACGGCCTTTAAATCATTAAATGTATGTCTCGCTGCTGTAGAGTCTGGCTGGAGGCTCTTGAGTAAACATGGAATCACCACGTAGTCGATTCATGGAACACTTTAAGATTGAGACGCTTTTTATAAAACGCACGTTTTAAATGGACTTTAAAGCAATGAAACATTTTTTATCTGGCAACACATCTTGGACACGAATGATTACCGAGATCTCGCTGAGAGAGAGTCACGAAACTTGCTTTTGTCTCTCTAATAGTGTCTAACCGCATCCATTTTCTCAGTGGTCTATTTAGCATTGGTATTTAGAAACAATGACACTGGCAGAGAAAGGAACACTGTTTAGGAGGGCCACATACGACTCTCACTCTCGAAGAAATCACGCGGATTACTGAATTTGCAAAATGTTCAGAAGAGTTCTTTCTCTGGGTAAACAATGAAATACTTTTCATCCAACCAACACACTTGTAGTAATCATTTATGTCACGAAACTTACAATCAAAAGAAACGTTTTGATATACTTCATTAATTGTACAAATAACATACACTGATTACGAGAGAAATAAAAAAAAAATCATTGATATATCACATAAATGCATAATCCATTGAAACCTAGCATATGCATTAATGTATATACAGGTGTAGTTCAATGTAGAATTACTAAAACTGAACCAGAGTGGTCCGCAGTCGTGAATATAAAGTGTTGTCGCGATTTTTGACCCATAGATTACCAGCGGTGACTTACTGACACTTTGATTGATTCCGTAACAGTCTCCAAAGACTATTCAGTTTTAAAGTGCTTTCTGACGCCGTATACAACGAGTCATCATGTTAACCGACGCTTTTCACTGGCGTACCTCTTCTGGACTACTTTTAAATTTAATGCTGGCGTATATACCTTACCCACATATCAAAAAATCTGTTACTAAAATAACCGGAAGTTTGATTGACTGTATTTGAACGTATAAATAGGTACATGTTACTAGGAAATTGTGAAGGATATGTTAGTCAGGAAAACGGTTGCTCGAATTTAAATAATATAAACTTCTGGATGGAGGATTTGTAACGAATCAGTAATTGTTACCAACAACATGTTTTTAGTTAATTACACGCCATTGAGCGACATAGACTTTAAACACTTTGAGCACCTCTACCTCTTTTCAAAACTATGGCTTAATGTCCATGTTGTACGATGCAGATAGAACTCAATAGAGATGGCCCCGAAAAGCACCAGAAAACAAATACATATAAATAAAGAAAGAGGTACATTTCAACAACAAATTATCACGTAATGTCCAAAATATACCCAAAAGCACAACTCAAGTATAACATACGAGTGTGATCAAACCACAAACATATGACAAATATATTCAACAGTTAATCGTAATGTCTGTCTGGCACGATGACTCACGTCAATATATTATCGCGTATTTGAGTCTACAACCACAGGAGTATACCGACACAAACTGAATGCGAACGCCACTAGATATTCCAACACCTGGT